GAGGCACAGGACGATCAAATAATGCTCAAGGTCACACAGCTCCTAGGGTAGAGATTATAGCCCATGTGGTCTAACTTCAAAGGCTAAAATCTTAGTCACTGTGTCATGTTGCATTCTTTGACCAAAGAGCATGGTTTACACAGGAAGAAGCTTCAAAGGCTCCGGCTATACTAACAGGAGAGGGGAAGTAGTGACTTTAAACCTGTCCCCCTCCCCACCCTGTGTGATCTTAACTGGTTTGATTTATAGAATAGATACAGTGGGGCCATCTTGGCTGAAGCCCTTGGCTGAAGCTTGGCTAATCCCTGAATTATCCCTTTGGAGTACTGGTACTTTGGAAAGACACAGTACCATGGGTAAAAATGACATGGATTTGGAGTTATACAGAGCCAATTAGGGACCTGCCACTCCCAAGCTCCATGATCTTGGCAGCAATCTTCCTTCTGAATCTCAGTTTTCTCTTCTATCAGATGGCTTTAATAATACAGATCTTGCTGAACTGCCATGAGGTTTCAAGTTCATGAAAAGCTCAGTGCTTGGTGCATTCATGTAGGTACTAGGTATTCATGATGTGTTGTTATTTATAATGACAATCCTTGACTCAGTTGTCAGTATGAGTGAAGGTAATATAAGGTGGTCTTCTTTTCTTATAGTTTTGTGCCTGATTCTTTGGGAGAACCTTATTGATCTCAGTTTTCTCCTTGTGTCCTAGGGTCCCCTGTTCTACCTGCATCAGGGGATTCCTGCCTGGATAGAGGACCCTGCTACTTAGCTTCTGCTTCTTTTTTTCTCCTAGCCAGTATCCCTTTACTGCCTATCTCTGATCTTATGAGGCAGATTCAATAATTTAAGGCAAATACAGTTGTGTATATAATGCATATAGGGAGGGTCAGGATATGTAGCTCAGTTTACCCTGAAAGAATAAAGATTATGCTCCAAACTGGTGGTAAGACTGGCAGCCCATTATCTCCCTCCACCCTGTCCTGCTTCATTTGCTGTCTCCCACCATGTGAAGCCTGGGAGCACTGCCTAATCAGCTTCTCCCATGCCACCTCCACATTACTGTCTGCTTCCTGGAGAATCCAGCTGTTACAAAACTTGAAGTTTAATTAGAACTTTTAATGTCTTAACAATCACATAGGGTTTTAGGGTTCTTACATGTAGGTTGAAGTTTTTTCCCCAGGAACTTATAGCCCTGTTCAGTTGTACCACCTCTAGTACTTCTTCCATGCACAGCTCCAGATTACCTTCCATGATCCATTAATTGCTAATATTGACCCTGGTTTATTGTCTCCAGGACATCCATTGAAAGGATTTCAAACCACTTGTTTGCTTCAGCTAGTATTTATTGAGCCCCAATTCTTTAATCAGTGTGTGTGCGTGCGCGCGTGTGCACGTGCGTATGTGTGTTGAATAATGCCAAACACAATGGCATTTCTCTTGGATCAGACCATCCTTGGCCTTTCTCCCTGTGTTCTCTATGTGACCTCAGAAGTCACAGCAGATGCTTACACTGCCAGACAGTATTTTACAGTCACCCCTCATGGCCATTGCTCCTGTTATTTCAACCAGTTGGAATGATGTCTCCAATTGTTTTCTACTAAGTCTTCTCAAACATCTTTCAAGTTCACAATTCTTTTCTGAAATTTTCCATGAGAACCTCAGCCTAAAAGTTCTTTGAACTTTGTTGATAATTGTCTTTCTATTATGTGTCACTCACTTTATAATGTCTTGAATGATAATTGTTTGCATCTGTTTTAATTTGCCAAGTAAAATATATATTAAACACCTGCACAAAGAGGGCAGTTAAGAAATACTTGTTATATAATGAAGATGTTTTCCTGAACAATAAAATTGTCTCAAAAGTTACTTCCACTCATTGACTACATGTAATATCAGGCCCCATTATTTGTCTCGGATTTTCATATCAAGGTATTATTTTATGTTGTTTACAAGATAGGAAAGTTGAACTTGTACTATCAAGTGATTTTCTAAAAGTCACTCAAATTTTAAGTGGCCCTCGACAGGGTGAATATAGCCAGGTCTGAATGATCCCTCTTGAAATGACTCATGAGGCCTCACCCTGCAGCCCACTGTTGCACATCTCAGAGTTGTGTGCTGAAGCCACAACCAGAGAAAGCACCAACAAGACATGAGAGTTGAGTGTGTGCTGGATGAGGATGACAGGCTTGCTAAGGAAGAGAGAAGACGGGGAAGGGCTGAAGAAAACTATCTAAGGAAGTTATCTGGTTTGGGCTTAGGGTGGTCCGTAGAACTTCGCCCAAGAAGCCAAGTCCAGGAAAGAAAAAGCCAACATATTTAAGTTTGTCCTCATTTCTGCAAGTTGTAAACAATTTAGTCTAGGACAGAGAGAAGTGCATGGGAGGGGAGGCTCTATGCCTAGTGAAGGATGGCAACAAGGACATAAGAGGTCAGCTCTGGGTGCAGAAGTGGGCATGTGGCCAAGCAGATGCCTTCCCATCTCACCTCCCATTACTACAGAAACCTCCATCTTAGCTTAGCAGGGGACACTTTCTAAAATGCTCTATGGGACTAGTGTAGGTCTCTAATTAGTAGCAACTTATGGGAATGCATCTCTGGTGCCACCCTCCATCTGCTGAATAGGAAACTCTGAGTATTGGGCCTAGCTGTCTAGGCTTAATAAGCCTTCTGAGTAAGCCTGACACTCAGGTTTGAGACCCCCAAGCTATGCCTTTTTCCTTCCTGCTATTTCTTTCTTCCTCCCTGCTTTACATTACAGTATCTTTATCTTTTCTCTTGTGTATTTCTCCCAGGTTAGAATTTTCTATATTCCTCAAAGGCCAATTTAAGCCTTTCCACCTTCACATGGCTTTCTGACTGACCTGATCCACAAAGCTTGCTTCTATTTGTGACCTTGCATTCCTGGCATTTTTTCCTTTCCTAAGTGCTGCATGTCCTCTGACTCTGGACTATACTGGGAGCATTTTGTTATTTGTGACACTTATTTGTAGTCCTTACAGTTTCTCCTACATAAGAAGTACACAATAAATGCCTTGTGGTGACTGATGGAACACTGAGCCTAAATATTTTATTTCTGACTATCCATCATTTTACGTGCCTATGTATAACATAAAAGTGGAAGAATTTTTCTGGTAACAAAGGGAGAATCTGTTTTTATTTTGTTATATTGCTTCTTGTTCCAGAAAGGATTTAAGGAGGCATAAAATGCAGCAAAATAACATATATTAGAAATAAGAAAGAAGAAAAAGGCAAAGCAAGGTAAAGGACATGAAATGGATCCAGAAATGAGACCAATACAAAAATGCTCCTGCACAGTACAATGTTCTTACTATAGATCAACCAAAAATTTAGCTGTTAGCTTTCTTTTCAGGGATTTGGAAAGTTATGGCTTTTGGTAATATATTAACCTTTCATAAAGTTACATAAACTTAATGTTGCTTCCTAGTTTCTATCTCTGCCTTTAGATTGGGAGAGCAGAAGTCATTCTGGATCTTTGGGAAGAAGGTTCCAAAACATGATGGTCATCATCATTGTAGATGGAAAGATGGCCATAATTCTGATGAGGCAGCAGAATATTCCACCTTCTCTCCCTAGATAAGGGGAACTTCTGTGGGGCTGGGACACATCTCAAGACATATGAAGAGAGAGCATGTCACACTTGGCTTCTGTAGAACTGCTGAAGAGCCAAATGACAGGGTCTCTATCTTGTGCATTGTCTCCATCACCAACAAAAGCATTTATTAAGATACTTGGGAGCCTCTATAGCTTAGAGTTCCTTTTGGATTACAGTAAAGGAAACTCATTTGAACTAGCTGAGGCACAAAAGGGAAATTTATTATAAAGATAATGGCATATTTCAAGGCATGTCCAAAGGCCTCAGATTAGACTGTAGCCAGAAAATGGAGATCATCCCTGTCATCTTTGCTTTTCTTGCTGTATGACTATTTGCTCTCTTTTTACATAATGTTTTTATTAGCTCTCCTATCCACAAGGTGAATGTAAACAGGCTAACTTAGTAACATATTACAAAGAGAGACCTTAGATCTCCAGCCCTTGTATATTCTGATGCAGGAGATCTGAGGTCAGATCCAAGAATATGTTCTAATAAAAATCCCCAGGCTATTATGATCAGCCTGGATTTGTGAACTCTTCAGTTGCCTGAGAAAATCGTTCATAATTCACCAAGCAAGGTGTAAAATACACAACTATCAAAGCAACAGTCAGAACAACTTCTTCTACTCAGTTTTATTTATTTATTTATTTATTTATTTATTTATTTATTTGGTGCTGGGGATCGAACTCCGGTCCTTGCTCTTGCGCAGCAGGCGGCCAAACCACTGAGCTAAATCTCCAGCCCAGAACAACTTCTTCTAAATGTCACCCTAAAGAGGCACACACTGTTTTTTTCTCCAAGATTGTTTAGGAGGATGACCTTGAAGGTACTGAGGTAAACACAGCACCCAGTCCAGAGGGCCATGTATGTGGGTCTATGTGTGTGTATGAGTGTATGCTTGTGTAGTGGATATGTGCGTATATGTGAGCATATGTGTATGTGTGTTTGTGTATGTGTGTGTGGGGATATGAGCAACAGCAATGTGTGGAAAGTACAGACTGAAGGACTTATTCCTAGATTAAAGTAGCTCAAATATTACCTCCATCTGCTTTTTCTCACCTCAGCAAGACTTTTCTTTCTTACCTCAGAGGGCATTTTTGTTCCCTAATTCAGAAAGTGAGAGAGACATCAGCTGCACTTGTGTGTGCTCCCTAACAGGCAGAGAGTCTCCAAATTTAATAAGTGTTTCTTGTAGTTAGTCAAGAAAGTAATTAACACCAGGGCACAGAGGGCACCCTCAGCCTCCAACGTCTGGCATCAGGAAAGTCGACTGTTCATCATTAGCACATGATTAAATAATTTATCATGTGAAGGCAGTGCTGGTAGAGTGAATGCTCTTATTTGTATTTATTGCAGGTCTGATTTTGTTCTATTTTTCTTATAGGCCTGGATGGCCAGGGAATAGGCTGCCCACAAGAGGAGGAAGGCACAGGAGGAAGGCCTCTGGTCTGTGTGGGAACAGGAAGAAGAGCAATCAGGTTGGAAAGGAAGGTAAATTTATTTTTATTTTTAAAAATTTTTTAACATTAAGTTTATTGGTACATTTTAGGTATACAATACAGTTACATTCATCATTGGGATCTTGTACCTTTACATAATGTATCTTGGCTCTTATTTTCCCCATTCCCCTGCCCTCCTTTCACCCCCTCCACACTTCCCTATTTACAGAGACTTTGTTTCCATTTTTTCCTTTTCTCATATTTTTTCCTTTTCCTTCTTTCCCTTCCCCTACCCTTCCCACTTCCCCTATCCCTTTGGACCTTTTCTTCCTATTTCACATTATCAATTGATCCTTATTTATACTTTTAGTTTCTCACACCAGAGAAACTATTCGGTATTTACACATGTGTGTCCTATTTATTTCACTTAAGAGTATGGCCTCAATGTGCATCCATTTAGCTATAAATGTCTCTAGTTTCTCATTCTTTATGGCTGAGTACTACTCCATTTTATTTAAACAACCACATCTTCTTTATCCAGTCTCCAGTTGATGGGCAGTTGGGCTGTTTCCAAGCTTTAGCTATTACAAACTGTGCTGCTATAAACATGGGTGTGCATATATCGCTGTGGTATGATTCTTTTAATTCTTTTGGGAAGATACCCAGCAGAGGAATAGCTGGGCCAAATGGGACCACTAGCCCCAGTTCGTTGAGGTATCCCCACACTGATTTCCACAGTGGTTGCACCAGTCTGCACTCCCACCAACAATGGAGAAGGGTTCCTTCTCCCCACAGCCCCACCAGCATTGTTATTGGTTGATTTCTTGATAGCAGTCATTCTTTCTGGGGTGAGGTGGAATCTCAGTGTTGTTTTCATCTGCATCTCTCAAATGAGCAGTGTTGTTGAACATTTTTTCATATGCTTATTTGCTGCTTTTACTTCTTTGTCTGAGAAATGTCTGTTCATTTCAGTTGCTCATTTTTGAATTGGGTCTTTGAATTTGGGGGGGCTAGTTTTTTTTTTTTTGGTATCAGGGATTGAACTCAGGACCTTGTGCTTGCAAGGCAGGTGCCAGAACCACTGAGCTAAATCCCCGTCCCAGAGGGGTCTGATCTTTTAAAGTTCTTTATATGTTCTAAATAGTAGTCCTTTGTCTCAGGAACAGCTGATACAATTTTTTCCCCACATTGTAGGATGTCTCTTAGCTCTGTTGGTGGTTTCTCTTGCACTGTAGAAGCTTGTTATTAGATGAGAGCCCAGTTATTGATTCTTTGTGCTAGTTCCATCCTACTGAGGTTTTGTTCATAAAGTCTTTTCCTATGCCAATGTCTTCAAGAGTTCTACCTAACTTACCTTCCAACAAGTTTAGTGTTTCTGTTTTACTATTTAGATCCTTAATCCACTTCAATCTTAATTTAGTGTATGGTGATAGATATGGGTCTAGTTTTAATCTTTGGCAGGTTGAAATCCACTTTTTTCCAACACCATTTATTAAAGAGGCTATCTTTCCTTTCACAGAGATGAGGTGGCTGAGTGTGTCTGGAATTGTTTCTGCATCTTCTAATCTATTCCACTGATCCTTGAGTCTGTTTCTTTGCTAGTACCATGCTGTTATTTTTTTAATCACAGTGGCTTTGTAGTATAGTTTCAATTTGGGGATTGTGATACCCCCTGTCATGTCTCTTTTGCCTAGAATTGCTTTTGCTATTCTAGGTCTCTTCTGGTTCCAAATGAATTTTTGGATTATTTTCTCTAGTTCTGTGAAATATACTGTTGAGATTTCAATTGGGATTGCATTAAATCTATATAACAGTTTTGGAAGTATGGCCATTTTCACTATATTGGTTCTTCCTACCCAGGAACAAGGGATGTCTTTCAATTTTCTTATTTCCTCTTTGATCCCCTTTTTTTTTTTCATAGTGCTGTAGTTTTCAATGTAGAGGTCTTTTGCTTCCTTCATTAGATTGATTCCTAGATATGTCATTTTTTTGGATGCTATTGTACAGGGAATTGTTTCCCTAATTTCTCTCTCAGTGTGTCTGTTATTTGTGCACAAGAAGGCTATTGATTTTTGAGTGTTGACCTTGTATCCAGCTACTCTACTGAATCTGTCAATTAAGTTTAGAAGTCTTTTGGTGGAGTGTTTTGGGTCTTCTATGTAGGTAAATTTATTGAGAATAGTGACATGAGGAGACACTTTCATTTCCTTTTTGCCATGTGAAAAATATAGACTGGAAAGATCAAATTTTTTATTTAAGATTATACACCTAGCAAGAAAAGGAATACAGTTTTGCTTAATTTTGATCCTAAATTTAATTTTTTCACCTTAAATCTATTGGCAAAGTTCAAGATTTGTGAGTAATCAGAGTGTTGACAAGATGTAACCAAAAGAGGGAATGTCAAAAGGTGGACCAAAGAAAAAAGATAGTTGCGGCAAATTGTATTTCGTGAAGATGGTCACACTCAAATGATTCCACCTCATTTGATCTTACATGTGAAGTTTTACTTTATCATTGAGAAACAGTCTCTCTCTCCCCTTGAACTCTGGCTTACTTATTCTTGGGACAGGCACTTTGGGAGAAGTCTAATTACCCTGACTCCAGTACTGAGCCACTCTATTGGAGACCCCCACAGAAAAGCAAGTACTTTGAGAAACACTTGAGAACCCAGCTGATCCAACCTCCAGCAATGCAAGTCTCTGCTGAACAGAGATCAGACCTATGAATAAGTGGAATTTCAAAGAGATTTTAAAAGATGACTCCAGCTGTGGCTTTCAAGCTGCCCCAGCTGTCACAGACTGGAGTGGAAGCAAACTCTTCCAGTTGAGGCTGGCCCAGTTTGCAGATCTGTGAGCAAAATACACATCATTGTTGAAGTCACTACATTTTAGGGTAATTTATTATATCATCATACTAATTGCTGAAGTAATTGGAAAAGCAGATAATTTTAGCATCTAAACATCTGAGATCTCAGCATCCAGCTGTATATGTATCGTTTTTATGCAGTCTCAAGCATCGAGTTTTAAATGACCCAAGGAGGCCATATAACTTGTCATATTCTACTATGGAGCCTTTAAAGTGGCTGTCTTCCTATGACTTCTAGGAGTATTCTAGCTATGTAAGATCTTAGCTTTGCACATGTAGAACATCATTGTCAACCCAAACAACATGTTCTAAGGAAAAATTCAGAGTTTGTGTGATGGCACTAGGCTGGAACACCTGAGGGATCTTGCCGGAGTAGTTGATATTTCAGCTAAGTCCTGAAGAATTTTCTTTGGCATGGGATTAGTAAGGTATCTCAATCAAGAGAGGGATTTAGGTAACAGTTAAGGTGACCAAGCTTTGGTAATGTTGTGCTCTAATGGAAGGGCCAATCCAGCCAAGTTGAAGGTCCCAAATATGAGCAGAGACTCGGGGCAGACTTGGGAATTCCTTCCTTTCTCTTTATTGTCTCTGGAGGATTCAAAGAACACCAGGAGCTGGATCCACAGAAGTCTCCTGAAGAAAAATCCATTCTATTTCATTCATTCATTCATTCATTCATTCATCCATCCATCCATTCATTCCACAAGTACTCCCTAAGACTGCAAGAAATGGAAAAACCAATTCCAGTTTTAGACATTAGCAGAGTAGGGAAGTAAAGAAGTCTGAGGATACCGTAATCTTCCAGTTAGGCCCTAGACTATGTCCCTTCCATTGCTCTACAGCTCCTTGTTCTTAAAATTAACTCTTCCTTCTCTAGCCCATTTAATCTCTGCCTCCCTGCTGCCTCTAAATATATGTATCACACCCACAACTAGCATCTTATTTGTTTCTTTTACTGACATTCCCCTTGAACAAATGCATCTGTGAACTAATTTACTTTTTAAAATGACTTCCTTAGATCTGGTTGATCAGCCTTAACCACTGAACCTTTTCATTACCTATGTCAGTGGTGATTGACAAAGATGTTCTTTCTTTCTGCTGCACTTGAGGTGCCAGCCCCTTTCTCTGGAGTACTCCCTCCCAACTCGCCTTTCTATATTCCTGCTGACACAGTCTCTTGTTTTGTGTGCTTGTCTCTGTCTCTTGTGCCACTTCTTTCTTCCCAAATATAAATACTTTCTTTCATTAAGAGACCTCTGCCTTGCCCTTCCTTACACCTTCTCTTCCCCCCAAACCATTCACACTTGCAGTTTAATTGTCAGGTCTAAGTGAACAGTTCAATAACCAAGGTGATAACAATTGCTCTGCTCTCCATGTATTGAACACTAACACATACTAGATTTTCTCATTAAGAACTTTGTACCCATTTAATGAATCCCTGTGAAATTTTTATTATCATCCTTTAAAAGTAAGCAAGTAGAGACTTGTAGAAGTTAAATAACTGATTGGAACAGAGTTTCACCTGACTTTGAAGACAGTGCTCAAAACTCTTACCCAGAATTGACTCTTTCCTCATTCTCCTGAGTACCCACATATCAGCTGTCACTGGACATTGTCACCTGGATGTCCCTTTGTTATATTTAGGCTATTATACTCAAAACTCAATATCTTTCCACAAATTCAGAGTTTCCTCCACATTTGTTTTCAACCATTCTGTTTTCCCATTACCTTTTGTAAAAGTGGCTGCACACTCCATCATAACAAGGACGCACAGAGCAGCCCAACAATGACCACCATCACTGTGGAGCAGGGGGGCAACACCGTGCTGAACTGTGGCTACCACATTTGTGAATCCCAACACCAGCAACTGGACTACAGTTTGTTTGTGCAACTTTAAGAATTTTCACTTAGTGGTTGAAAAGAGAGTAAAAAAGCACAACATGTAACTCGCAAACATGATCATCTTGCCTTTCTGGTGATCCTTTCATCATCGCAAGTCCCACCCCCCCCATTCTTATACCGACCAGAGAAGAATAGCCTATTGTTCTTGCATCATTTATGTGGATATTAGAATTGAATTTAACCTTAGAAATTGCTTTGGGATAAGCCCTTTCATTTACAGAAGAGGGAACAGGGGGTTCAGATGGGTGAGGAATCATCAACTCTGTGAGTTTTGCTCTGATGACA